CACTACAGGAATGAGCTGGCAAAGCCATTTGCAAAGCAAACCTGGTGCTGAAGCAGAAACCAGCACAGGATGCAGGGCCTGGGCTGGGAGTGCACAGTCCCTGCTGGGCTGAGCTGTGGGAGATGAGCAGATACCTGTGAGGTAGACACAGACCCCACAGCAGAAGAGGCCGAGGGCAGCGTGCCGAACCGTCCGGCTGTCCAGCAGGAACCAGTCTGCCCTGCAAAATGGGAGAGAAATAGCTCTGGGTTGGCTCCTGGCTCTGGGCTGAGCACAGCCAAAAGTGTTCAGCCCTTGCTGAGAAACTGAAACCCTAGTTTTGCATAGAGAAGAGCTTCAGGGACCTCAGGGACCTCTGCTGAATTAAGGTTGCACAGCTCAGGGCTGAGTTCTTCTTCCCACCCTGGAACAGATTGGGAAATCACTTGGAATTTCAAACTCTTCCTGCCTGAGTCCTGTGCTTCAGAAACGAGGTGGGGACAGGGAGACAGTGCTTGGAAGTTTTTTTGCAAGTGTTTTGCTCCTGTTTTCTCCCTGGAGAACAAACAGGGAACAAAACCAAGGCAGGTCCAACCTGTCTCTCCCCTCCCAGAAAGGACAACGTGTGCCCTGAATGAAGCAAGGCCAAGTTCTCTCTTCACCCTTGGGACTGGATTTCTGTGCTCAGCTCAGATTGCAAACCTTTTGTCTGGAATGCTTTGGGACTTGAATAGTGCTTGAACACATGAAAAGATCAGCCCCTTTTCCAGCAGAGCCTTTGTCCCCACCTAGCACCGACCCTGTGCCTGCTGCCAGCACTTCCCACCACGGACAGCTCTGCCTGGGCATCTTCAGAGCCAGACTAGGCTGGAAAATCTCTGTCCTCGCTGGCTTCGGAGGCTGCTGTGACTAGAGGATGTCTCTGCTAATTGGGAGAGCAGGATGTGGTCATTAGGGGATGGGGTGGAGGTCAACAAAGAGGTGCCAGGCTGGGAAATGGGAGTGCTCAGAGAGATGCTGGCAGGACTGTGTTGCTGGGAAGCCACAAACAGCCTCTTGCAAC